GTTAAGTCAAATAATATGGCAGTGCTTGTACTAGTATTACGACTAGAAGTATACATATGAATAGTAGTGGTACTGGCACGTTTGTGCTAGTGGTAAAGATATCAGTAATGCTGCAGTGTCATTCGTATGTTTTGTTCGCCTCCATACTAGTAATATGATGATTGCGCAGCTTCGCGACGCGCACAAGAGGGAATTCAGGGGGAGGGGGGAGGCTTTTTAGAAGGAGGCTGCTTCTTAGAAGGCACCCGCCGTACATCTGTAGAGACGGCCCGCGCCTCCTTAAAAACAGCGGTGCTTCTCAGAAGCCTTCCCCTCTCACCCTGACCCCCCACTGCGCGTGGCTGAGCAGAGGGGCGGCCCCCGAGGGCCCCGCCGACGAGCTCCACGCCGCCGCCCGTGCTGCGGAGGCTGCGGCGCGCCGGCGCGGCCCCGCCGCCGGGTGCGGGCCACAGCTCCCGCGGCACCGCCTTGGCGCGCGGTCACTGGAGGCGGCTCGCGGCGGCGCCCGCGGCGGCGGCGGGGAGGGGAAGAGACGAGGCAGCGCGGTGGGCGAGGGGGGAGGGGCTGGGGGGAGGGCGGGGGAGGAGAGGGGAGGGGAGGGGAGCAGGGTCAGGGGAGAGAGGGGAATAGTATTCATATTGAGTGCTTGTGGAGGAGAGGAGGGAGTAGGGATGGTGGAGAGGGGTGGAGTGGGGGGCAGGTGCGGGGGGAGGGGGGGAGAGGGAAGGGGAGGGGAAGGGAGGGGCGTGGAGGGAAGGGGGGCGGTCGAGGAGAGTGGACATGTATGCAGCAGGAGGGGGAGGAGGAGGAGGAGGAGGAGGAGGAGGAGGAGGAGGAGGAGGAGGAGGAGGAGGAGAAGGGGGTGGGCGAGGGCAGGGGGCAAGCTAGGCGCGCTCGCGCAACGTCAGACATCCTTCCTTCCCTTTCCACCCATCCCTTCCCATTGCGCTGACTTCTCTCCATCCGCCGACGTGCGCCATGGCGCGCCTGGAACTCCAAAGGGGGCCTCATCGCATTTTGCGCAATCCGAAGAAGGGAACGCCGTATGTTGGAGGAGCACTGCACCGACCGAAAGGGTCAACACATTCACATGCAAACCAAAAAGAATATTTCCCCCCCCTCTTCCTCGTCAAAAGCGTCAAACAGCCCAGCCCGCTTCCTCCTCTCAAGGACGCGCTGCCTGAGGCGCTCGGCCTCGGCGGGGGAGGCGTACATTGGAGGAGGAGGTGGCGGATCAGAAGGGGGATGAGCAGGAGGACGAGGGAAGAGGAGGAGGAGGAGGACGAAAAGCAGCAGCAGGAGCTGGCTCGCGCTGAGCGACGGGTGCAAAGATCCGAACATGAGAAACGCGATGCTGTGGGAACACCGTTTCGAGGCAAAGAAAATGGAGTGAGACAGCCACAAAAAAAACATGTGCCCCATCCTGCACATAAACATTTTACACTGAAGGGGAGGGACATGTTTCGGACAGAGCCAGGGGCGAGAGCAGGGAAGAGAGGAGAGAAATAATTCGTATTCCGCCAGCAACGTAAGCTAAGGTGGTCTAACGAGATCTGTCCTTTCCTCTTCCAAAAACCCTCGTCTCTTCGGGAAGGGGTACCCTCCCCCTCCCCTCCCTGAGGTGCTTGGAAAGGGTTCGAAATGTGTCAGGGGCGCCCAACATGGCTCCAAGAGGTCCTCATACACAGCCTGCTCCACGATGGCCTCGAAAGCGACCCAAGGTAGCCGAAGATGGTTCAAGATAGCTTCCAACATGCCTCCAAGAGGCCCGACGAGGGGGCCACAAGACAGCTCCAAGTGCTCTCGGACCCCCTCAATACCCTCCCCCCCAAGAGGCCAAAATACGCCAACAACTAGGAGAATCTCAATGCTGTGTGCCGTATCGCCGTTTCGCTTCAAATGCGTTTTTGAGGCCGGAAGATGGCCCCAGGATGGCCCAAGAGAGCCCCAAGATGGGCACAAGAGGTTCCCAAGACGGCCTCAAGAGGCCGACAAGACGGCCCCAAGAGTTCCCAAGATCGCCCCAAAGAGCGCCACAAAAGAGCCCCAAGGGGCGAGTTCGAGGGCCCCAGAGATGGACCAAACGTTAGGACCCCCTGCTGTTCACCAACGCCCTCCACGATAGCCCCAAGAGGCCCTCCAGAGCTCGCAAGAGGCCCCCGAAACAGCCCCACGAGGGCCCCACGAGGGACCGAGACCCCTCAGGGGGCCACAAGGACCCTCTAAGGGGGCCACAAGGACCCTCGAAAGAGCCCCAAGAGGCTCCAAGAGGCGATTTTGAGGCTCTGTCCTCGTTGTCCTCCTCTTCCTCATTCTCCTCCTCCTCCTCCTCCTCCTCCTCCTCCTCCTCCTCCTCATCGTCCCCGTCCTCCTCCTCCTCCTCCTCCTCCTCCTCCTCCTCCTCCTCATCCTGCTCCTCCTCCTCCTCGGCCTCGTCCTCGTCCTTGCCCTCAGCGTCTGTCCTCCTCTTTCTCGTCGTCGTGGTCGTCGTAGTCGTCGGCGGCGGCGTCTTGGAGGGCGGCCTTGGAGGGCCTATTCGGGCCATCCCTGGGGCCCGCGTGGGGGCGAGTGAAGGAAAAGGAGGAGGAGGAAGAGGAGGACGACGACGAGGATGAGGAGGAAGACGCCGCCGCCGCCGACGACGACGACGACCACGACGACGAGAAAGAGGAGGACAAGGAAACGGACGATGCTGAGGGCAAGGACGAGGACGAGGACGAAGAGGAGAAGGAAGAGGACGAGGACGAGGAGGAGGAGGAGGAGGAGGAGAAGGTTTAATTATCACGATGATCAGGAGGAGGAGCACACCTGGCGGAGGGGCAGGAGGAGAAGCTGCTCCCAGGGGAGGTGGAGGAGGGGGACCAAGCTAAACCCAGCATGTACAAACGATGCTGCAGCACACCCTCCGGTCCCCAGGAGTCCCCGCCCCAGGAGTCCTCGCGGGCACTGTGAACATGCCACTGCACGAAGCGCCCCCCCCCCCCTCTTTAAAAGACGGAGCCCCTCGCGGGCCCGCAACTCGGGCGGGAGCGCCGTCTTGAAGCGGGACTGGCCTCCATCCTTCCAGCTATCAGTCGAGTAGGGGATCGACTACATAATTGATTTACCCCAATATGGATTTGTTCGTCGACTCCATGAAACATGCATCAAATGCCCCTAGATCTACGAACATTATAGGTATGATTTGACGAGAAGAGCCATTCTGGGGTAAATCAATTATGTAGTCGATTCCTGACTCGAACCAGGAGTGCCCAACACTATGAGAAATGATCGGCCTCCATTCATGTAACTCTTAGGCTGGAAAAAGCACGAGTGTGCGAGACGCCAGGGCGAGAACCACGTTTGGAAAACCAACCGCCATCCATCTGTGCAACTGCGAAAACGAAGCCAGCTTCATGCTTCAATATCGTAATCCACCGAACCCCTTGTGGCATGTGGAGGCGTCTAAGACGAAATGCCCAGCGCGCACTAACGACACGTTTGGTGGTCGACAGGGAGACGTTATGTATAAAGAGGTGGGCGGGGGAAAGAGGAAGAAGAGGAGGAAGAGGAACCGTTCGAGGAGGAGGGGTAGGCTGATCAGGCGGTAAAGAGGAGGGAGAAAGAGGGGGAAGGGAAGAGGGAGGGCGGTGGAGGAAGAAGGGCATAATGACTCATCTGCCTAAACCTCCTCCTCCTCCTCCTCCCTCGTCCCTCCCCCTCATCATGGCACAATATATCGTTACATTGGTTACACCAGACGTTGATAAACGAACACATCAACCTGAGAAAACAGACTCTTAGTGGACCGGGTCTGAAGACTCTAAGCACGGTGTGATTAAATAATGGATACGCGTAAAAGCATGAAACATGATTGTCGCCTGTGCCGTCCTCCCTGGTCGACCCTGGAATTCAGATATTGCAAAATTTACTCTGGAAGCTCAGACTCTGATCTGGAAGCTGCTTCTTTATAAGCCTTACGGGTGTATACTGAAAGATCAGAGCCACAACATCGGCGCGCCGGCTCTCTCAAAAAAACAGCAGCGTCGACGCGATGATCCGCAGGGCGCTTGCTTCAGACAGCCTCGCAGGCCGACCTCGCCTCAGACGGAGCGAGCGCAGCCCAGTTTGGGGAGTTCCAGAGGGAGTTAGCCAAAAGAGAAGGGCTCCCAAACATCCTGACACCTCTAAAACATCGAGACAGAAGTGTTCCCAAATGTTCGGTTATTCGGAACACTTGCCACGCCTCGGGAACGTCAAAAAGCTACTCGGGTCAGGGAAGCTTAGCTACCCCGATGCGCAACACACAACCCGTAGAGTGTTGACACGGAGCTCAACACGTAGACTGAAAATGTAGGTGCGATACGTTCGCCAAAACGACACGTGCAGAGCCAACACGCAGCGTGTCAACACGGACGCATTGAACACGGCACGTGTTCTGTTCCGACGCGGGCGGACCAGGGCAGCTCAGCATGGAAGTGGTCGAGAGGTCGGGGGCCCGCGTCTCGAAAAATCGAGGCGCCGGACGACTGGGGGACCAGACCCAGCTCATGCAGGTTCAGGAGCGGAAAAGGCGGGCACAAGGAGGAGGGCAACGAAAAGAGGAGGCAGAGAAGATGCGGCGAAGGCCAGGGATGGGAGCGGCGGGACGGGGAGGGGAGGTAGAGGGCAGGAAGAGTCAAAGGGCTGAGGATGGCAAGACCTGGGCATATTGCAGGCCAGGGCCGCCAGAGCCACCCCCAGAACCGCCATTCGCTCTCTCTTTTCCTCCTCTCCCCATCCCCCTCTTCGCCCCGCTCCGCCCCCTCCCCCTCTGCCTGCTCCCCCATTGTCCTTGCCCTCGCCGTCGTCGTCCAAACGCACCAGTTTTTCAGGCTGCGTCCAGCCGTTGCGATGAGGGGCCCCCCGAAGGCCAACTACCGCTGTCTCAACTCGGCCTCCCCTGAGGTCCGCCCGCACCACCCCCGGTCCAATGGCCGCCCCGCCTTGCGCGTGCGGGAACCCGCGCAGACACGGCCGCGTCAGCCCCCCCGCCCCCCGCCGCCCATCAGGCAGCGGGAGATGTCCGCGGACGCGCACAGGCCGCGCAGCTGCTGCTCGTAGGCGGGGTCCCCCAGCGACCCCACCGCCTCCAGCAGGAACCGGTCGAGCATCGCCTGCGCCATGTCCTGCGGCAGCGACCCGAGGAGCGGCACCGAGACGATGAAGTCGGCGCCCCCCTCGGCCGCGCCCTGCCAGCAACGGTGCGCGCGGTCGCCCTGGTTGGAGCAGCTCACGTGCGGGTAGGACCCCAGCAGCATCTCCTGATGCGGGACGCCCGGGGTGCCCTCAGATCTGGGCGACGCCAACACATCGCGACGACTATTGTGAGTTGTTTTCTGCATCTGGAGGCCGTCTCCCTGCCTCGGGACAGTACAAAAACGACTCTGGATGAAAAGCCAGCACCAGGGGAAGAGTCGAGATTCCCCAAGGGACCAGCGTCACGGAAGAATTGCGACGTCGAAGGAGAGCGTCGACCCATTGTCCACCACTGTGGGACCCCAGGGCCTCGGGAGGCAGTGGGCATGAGTACTTCGCGCTGTTCAAATGCGTGGGGGGGTGAGGGGGAAGCGATCGCGTGGGATGCAGGCATGGCCCGTCCTGCACAGGGGAGCCCGAGGGGGGGCGGGGGGGACGGCGTTGGGGGGGCAGTGTCTGCACGGGTAGGGGTGGGGGTGGGGCTGGAACGGGCCGTTGGGCGGAGCGGCACGATGGGGGGGCTTATTTAGAGGCCTCCTAAATAGTGTCCGAGTAGATGAGGTCGGAGGATCGCACTGCAACGCCGATGCATCGCCGATACATTGGCGATGAGTCGGCGATGCTTCGGCGACGTGGGTGGTGCATCGGTGACGCCAGCGCGGAGATAATCGGGCTCCACATCGAGCCGCATCGACGATGCATCGGCGATGCGGCGCGATCCTCCGACCACGTGTACTCCGACCACATCTGGGAGACCTCGATTACTGAACAATCCGAAACGCGTGTGGACCACTGCCTTCCGAGGCTCTGGGAGATGGGCCCCCCAAAAGTGGAGGGTATGCCAGCAGCAGCACATGTTCGACGTCGGCGTTACCCGTCAAGGCGAGGGCAGCAAACACAAGGTTGAGCGGGCGAGATCGGCGTGTTCCCCCAACGTGCCGACCACGGCACCCCCAACGCGGTGGAAATCGACCAGTGCTCCGGCCAGCGCTAATGCCCATCCCGTTGGGGACCGGCCGACCCAAGCACCCGAGGAGGCAGTGGAAGTGGATATCCTTGAGCCCTCTGAGCCCGCAAACACCCAGATCTGCTTCCTCACTGAGGAGCAACGTTAAGGGGGGCCAGCTCAGGGGAGGAAACATCGATCTGGAATCGGCGATGCATCGCCGACTGATAGCGAATCCCCAAGCTCCTGGGCGGGGTGGGCTTTCGGGCCTCTGTCGGCGATCAACGGACGATTTGAGGTTGGAGCATCCCACCTTGAACCTATCCCCCCCTAACGCTGCCCCTGAGGATGTTCTCCGTTTCGACCTTCGAGCCTAGATGAGGGGGGGGGGAAAGAGGAGGACGAAGAGGAGGAGAAAGAAATGCTGCCGGAGATGCCTGCCTCTCTCATCCTTCATTCCTCCTCCATCCTCCTCCTCCTCCTCCTCCTCCTCCTCCTCCTCCTCCTCCTCCTCCCCCTCCTCCTCCCCCTCCTCCTCCTCCTCCCCCTCCTCCTCCCCCTCCTCCTCCTCCTCCCCCTTCTCCTCCCCCTCCTCCTCCTCCTCCTCCTCCTCCTCGTCTCCTTCTTGCTATTATTCATAATCTTATTGTTCTTATCAATGTTAGTAGTATCAGTTGTCATTCTTCGTATTCTGCTTAGTAGTATTATTATAAGTCTTAGTATTATTCGTATTATTAGTGTGTTCATTGTCCTAGTATTCTTATCATTATTACTAGTATTCTGCTTCTCTCTTAGTATTAGTATTATTGTTCGTCTTCTTCTGAATATTAATATGATTCCCCTTCTTACTATTGGTACCGGTACGACTAATAGTATTATTCGTCTTCTTCTTCTAATAGTTACTCGCGGTAGTCTTTTTATTGCAACTTGTCTTTTTGTTATACGTATTCGTCTGCTTGTTCTTCTTATTCGTATTATTCGTCTTCTTCTCATTGTTATTACGACTATTATCATCATTCTTCTTCCTACTCCTCAACCTCACCCCCTGGGAAGTAGGTTCCCGAAGTGGCGGGCACGGGCCGGACCCAGCCCTCTGGCCTGAGGCACGAGCCGCACCCCCGGCGTGTAGCCCACGTCGGGCCAGCCCGCCGGCGCGGCCGGGGCGGCCGCGCCGAGCTGCAGCGCGCGCTCGGTGGGCTTGGGCACGGAGACGCCGGGGCGCACGAGGTGCCTGAGGGGAAACGAAGGGAGGGGGGGGGGGCAGCTCGGAGGGGGGGGGGGGGGGAAATACCGAGCTGGAATCGGCGATACATCGCCGATGGATCGGCGACAGGCTCCCGATGGCGGAACCGCACGCGCCTGGGCGGGGAAGGCCATCGGGCCCCCATCGGCGACGAACGGGCCATTGGGGGTCGATGCATCCACCTCTGAGCCTATCCCCTCCCTGACCCTGAGCGCCAAAGCAGCGAAAACTGGTCGCGCAGGTCGTGCCTCAGGTACGGGTTCCTCAGGGTGGCGCGCCAGAGGTGACATCTGGGCGAGAGGGGCGGCCTTCTGAGGCAGACAGGGGGCTTCCTTGAAGTGGTCGAAGACTTCTGAGACGTCGCCCAGGAAGGGGGGAGGGCCTCCAGGAAGCCCCGTATAGCCTTCTTATCGACTACATGCAAGAGTGACCCCGGGTAAGAGTGACCTTTGGTGTGCGGCTTTTGGACGCCGCGGGGGGGACCAAACACGAGCGCGCAAGACGCTATTACCGCATCGCGGTCGGCGATAGGGGGGCCCAAATGGGCCCGCACCAAAAGGTCACTCCGAGAAGGCCGTCCCCCTCGCGCCAGCCCCCCTTCTGCGCGCCGCCGCGTCCTCTCGGGCTCGTCCTGGCCGTACACCTCCGTCAAGAACCGGCGCCCCTCCGGCGAGTTGCGCACGATCCAGTTCCCGCCCGCGAGGCCGCGGCCGTCCTCGGAGATCAGGAAGTGCACCTCCGGATCGATCTCCAGGGACCCCCAGGGCGTGTCGCGGCCGGCGAAGCGGTAGATGAGCGAGTCGAGCGTCACGTCCATGTTCACGAACAGCGAGTCACAGTCCATCGACATGACCCAATCGTACGGGCGGCCTGCGCCGTTCAGCAGAAGCTCCAGCGGCCCAGCCAGCTGCCCCCAGACAGGGTGCCGCGAGGACGACAGCGCTGGGCGCTGGCTGGTCCACTCCATACCGTATCCGTGGCGGCCGCAGTAGGCCTGCCGGTTCTGCTGCGACCTCGCGAGCAGCCAGTGCATCGGAGCGCCTGGCGCATAGTCGCACAGCGAGAACACGGCGATATTCAGCGACGGATCGCGGTAGCCTGCGGGCACCTCCCAGGACGCCTGATGAGGCAACATCGCCAGACTGTTCCGCTGCAGCCTCGCGGCGTGGGGGATGTAGGCCTCCATGAAGTCCTCGAACCACCGGATGCCCCACATCTCCAGCTGCAGGCACTCCATGCCGTGTTCCGACCGCGAGGCGTCCCAGAACATGCTCATGGCAAGCTGGAAGAGGTTCGCTGCCTCGGTTGAAATCTCCGAGGAATGACTCCACGGGTTTCCTAGTCCAGACCTCCGATTTCGTCACTATTTCACGACGTGGATCTCAAGGGATGTGAACCCCTTCCCCTGAACCAGCTGTTCATCCTGAGTCGTCGTTGAAGTTCCCTGGGCCCGGCGAAGGCCCCTGGACGCCGAAATCCCACCAGCCCTTTGGGCGTGAGTGGTTTAGCGAGCTTTCTCTGTCCTCAACCCCCCAACCCCCCTTCTTCCCCTTCGGGGAGGGGTTTACCCCTCCCCCTACCCCCTCCCCCTGGGCCTGGAGAGGGGGCGCCGCGGGTGGTTGGAGGGGTCTTTTTCGACTCCTGGGAGGGCCAAAAAACGACGACCCTCACGAGGATTCTGGCCCCGAGGGGGGGGAGGGAGTTTGGCGCCTGAACTCGTCGTTGAAGTAAAAAACATTGATTTTACTAGGGTTTGGGCCCCATTTTGGCCTTCTGAGGGGGCCGCGCTCATCTTCCCTCATAGCAAAATCATTGATTTTACGAAGGTTTTGGGCTCATTTTGTCCTTCTCAGGGGGCAGCGCTCATCTGCGCTTCTGAGGAGGTCGCAAGAGGCCCCAAGATGGCCCCAAGAGGCCCCCAGGAGGCTCCCAAGAGGCCTCCAAGAGGCCCCCAAGAGGCCCCCAAGAGGCCCCAAGAGGTCCCCAAGAGGCCTCCAAGAGGCGCCCAAGAGGCCCCAAGAGGCTCCAAGAGGCCCCCAAGAGGCCCCCAAGAGGCCCCCAAGAGGCCCCCAAGAGGCCCCAAGAAGCTCCAAGAGGCCCCCAAGAGGCCCCACGAGGAGCCCGAACGACTCACACCAGGACGAGAGACCCCAACGACTCACACCACGAGGAGCCCGAACGACTCACACCACAAGGAAGGGCCCGAACGACTCACACCAGGACGAGGCGCCCGAACGACTCACACCACGAGGAGCCCGAACGACTCACACCACGACGCGGGCCCCGAACGACTCACACCACGAGGAGCCCGAACGAGTCACACCAGGAGGAGGGGCCCGAACGACTCACACCAGGATGAGGGGCCCGAACAACTCACACCACGAGAAGCCCGAACGACTCAGACCAGGACGAAGAGCCCGAACGACTCACACCACGAAGAGCCCGAACGACTCACACCAGGAAGAAGGGCCCGAACGACTCACACCAGGACGAGACACCCCAAACGACTCTCTCTCCCTCCTCCTCCGCCTCGTCCTTCTCCCGCCCCCCCCACAAGGAGGATGTACAAGGAGGCGGGAGGAACAAGGAACAGGGGAGATATGCGGGGCCAAGCGGACACACGCCTGAATTATCCCGGCAAAACAACCTAACATCGATATGTAGAAGCATAGCTGGAAGCATGCAGCAGCAGTAACAGTCACAGTAGTAGTAGCAATAAGAGCAGGAGAGAAGAAACCGTGGTAACAGTGAAGTAGTAGTTGTAGGTGGCGGGAGTGAACGAGTGAAGTGTAGTAGTAGTGGGTGTAGTGGTAACAGTGAAGTGAAGTATAATTGGAGTGGGTGGATGGCAGCAGTAGTAACAGTGAAGTACGGCGGATGTCTTGGATAGTAGAATGGTAATACAGCCCCCGTAGTAACGGTATCAGTAAAAGTAATAGTAGAATGTATGTCGAAACGAGACACTGCTATCAACGCACGGAGCTTGAATGCATGTATTTGCAAACGAGACACTGCTATCAACGCTGGAAGTGTGTCAAAACGAGACACTGCTATCAATAATGGAAGTCGTGTAAAAACGAGACACTGCTATCAACGCTGGCAATGAATGATGATGATGAGTGCGATGATGAGTGCGACGATGAGATGATGACTGTCCTTTTTTCAGAGGACCGCGCTGAGGAGCGGCGTGCGAAGCGGAGAAGCTGCAGACACGCGCAGGCTGAAAAGCATTGCACGACACGTGCAGGCTCACCGCGCACAGCTGCACACGAGCGCAGGCTGAGAAGCACCACGCGCATGCAGGCTGAGAAGCACCACACGAATGCAGACGGACAGACTGAACAGCACCGCCACAACGCAAGCTGCATCTCATGGCTCCTCAAGCTCGCGCAGGCCATCCCAGTTGCTGTCGGGCCTTCGCGCAAGCGATCTTCGTCGCGGCAATCTTGTCCGCGAAGAGCTCGGCGAAGGCCTTGGCGATCTGTTCGGGGGGGCCGGATTCGATGATGCTCCGGTCAGGCAAGCCGTGGCTCAAGAGTTGGTTGAAGCTTCTGGGGCGCGACAGGCTGACGTAGTAGGCAAGCCAAATGGACTCCTTCTTGAGTCCTAGCGGAAACGTCCAGTGCACGATGAAGCCTGGGCCTGGGTCCGTCGTCTTGCCCTGGACGCCATGCAGAGCCCCCTGCTTCGTGGGCAGCACGATCAACTGCGCCCTGGACACCGCGATGGCCGGGCCACCTGTCTTCGCTTTGAACTTCCAGGGGCGCGCCTGCGGAGTGATCGCGAGCACTCCGCGCAGGTCGGGGCCGGCAGGCTGAGAAGCACTGCCAGCTGTCACCGGCGCGGCCTTCAAGAAAAGTTCATCGCTGTCATCGATCTTGACATAGACGGCCTTTGGCATGTAGTAGAGTACGACCACACCGTCCGAGACAATGGACGGGCGGCCCTCCACCGGAGGCTCCAGAGCGTGCAGCTCTATGCCTACCACTTTGCCTGGCGCGCCACGGACATACTTCGGCGGCAAGACGGATTCTGTCAGGATGACCTCCATGCCAACGAAGAGCGGCAGCAGCCCCGGCATTTTTGCGGTAGCGCCGATGTTGGGCTCCGCGCGCATCTCGTCGAAATCAGGCTTCGCGAGGCGCGCAGCTGGTCTGTCGATTGCTGGGACGTAAAAGAGCAGCTGGCCAGCATCGTGCGCATCAAGCTTGGCCTGTGCATGCATGGCGTAAGAGACGATGCGCCACTCATAGGCGGACTCGTACCAGCCTCGTGCTGCACGCAACCGAGGGCCCCATTGAGGTGGCTGAGCGGCTTCGCTGCTGCTGGCAGCAGGCTGACCAGCACCGCTAGGGCTAACGACCTCTGTTTTGACGATCGCCTGCCAGCTCTCGTCAGAGATCTTTTTTCCGCCTGGAGTTCTCATGGCGTGGAGAACCTCGAGTTGCAACGGGTCTGTAAAGCGCTGCATCTGCACGAAATCGATGACGTACTCGAAGTCGGCGAGCAACTTCCTACCCTGTTGGTGTTCGTAGGACTGGCCCGTGTGAGGCGCCAGCAGGGAGGCGCTGGCGGGGACCGGCGGCAACTGGTAGAAGTCCCCGCACAAGATCTTCACGGCCATGCGCCCCCACGTCTCCTGCGGGCGCATGTACTTCGCGGGGTCAAGATTGTAGCGCAACGCCCTGCCGTAGGTCGTGCGCAGTGCATCGGCACGCAGCAAAGGCCCCGGTACAGCACCCAGCTCATCGATCACGTCGACGCCGAGTGTGCCTGTGAGGCGGTCCAGCTTTTTTTGCGTCTGTGGCGTCAAGCGCAGCCTGGCGGTCTGCAGGGAGTCCGACATGAGCAGCCCATTGGAGGAATGCATTGTCCTGCCGCGCGGGCCGAGGTTGTGCGCCGCGTGGTTGGACTGAGCTTTGCCGAGGTACCCCTGCTCGCCGAAGTAAGTGATGGCCATCGGCTCCACCACTTTGGAGAGGGTGCGTGTCTTGCCGACACCGCCTCCCCCGAGCCAAATCGCTCTGTGGTTGCCTGTCGCGGATACTACGGGGAGCAGATGCGTTGTCTTGTCTGGTCTGCCGTCAAAGCGTTTCTGCAGGGACAGCGCGAACAACGCCACCGCGTCAATCTGCTCCTCCGTGCACTCGGCATCATTGACAAGCTTCCACGCAACAGCCGCCGGGCCCTGCATGGCCAAGAGCTGCGGCACGAGCTCCGGCTGCGCGTCCTCGGCAGCAGGCTGAGGAGCACCGCTGGGTAGCCAGTCGTCCGCAGCCTCGGGCAAGGTCTCTCCATCCGGGCTCGCTTGCTTCTTTTGGAGCGCAATGCTTTGCCGCTGTAGGGCGAGCATGTCAGAAAAGGTCTCGTCCAGCCGCGTGCCCTGATGTTCCCGCGCGCCGCTGCTGGCTGGCAGTGCAAAGCTGGGCTGCAGCATGCCGCTGTACGCTCGGTCGAGGTTCTTCAACTGCTTATCGGCGTAGCTGAGGCGGCCCTTCTGGTCCAAGCGCTGCAGTTGGTCTTGCTGTAGGGCCAGCTCGGTTGCTCTGACGTGGTCCCGCAGCGGAAACCGGGAGATCTCGGTAATCGCGGCGTCCTCCACGTCCTCCTCTACGTCGCTGCCGCCGCCTCCACCCACGTCAACGAGCTCCAGCGGGACTCGCCCCTTGAGTCCTTCGGCATCGCTCGCGGAGTCCTCATCCGCCTCGAGGTGTGCAGTCGCTGCTGGCCGAGGCTTAACCCGCGCCTCCGCCGCGAGGTCCACGTGCGCCAGCGCGTCTCGCGCCACGTGCGCACAGAACTCCGCCAGGGTGCACTGTTCCTCGTGCCACCGGCAGTGGTGGTCACCGAAGGCGAGGATGCGCCGTGCCGCCTCCGCTGGCATGCGCCGCGCCAGCTGGGACCTTGCGAAGTGCGCTAGGCTGAGGAGCACCAGCTCGCCCTCCTCGAGGTTCACCCGGGGCTCTTTCAGCTCGGAGAAGAGGGTCGTGTCCGCGAGCACGAGCCTCTTGCGGGCCAGGCGGCTCCTGGAGTCTGCGCGCGCTGCCAACACGTGGATCTCCGCGCACCGAAGCCGCCACGCCCGCTCGAACGAGTATGGGCGCACGGCGGGGCAGTCGCAGTTCCTCAACATATGGCTGCACTGAGTAACGCAGCCACAAGAGAGGGGACACTCGCACGCCCAAGGCGTGAAGAGGAGGGCCTTGAAGAGCGAGTTCTGCTCGGGGTCCTGTGCCCAGGTCGGGCACTGGAAGCCATCGATGGTGGGGGCGTGACTCCGCGTCAACCGGACCTCCTGCA